AGCTCTATCAACTGAACTACGTTCGACTTGATCCCCGAAAGGGGTACGTAGGCAGCCTTTCATAAGGTTCAGTCCGAAATCATTCAAACTTTTTTTCCTATCTTTTTCCGTTTTTCGTTATCGAGCTGCGACTCAACTAGATCTAGGGTTTTATGTTTGTAACTCGCTGATGGCCCCTGCGGCCAAAGCCTTTGTAATTCCTTGTAATGATCGCAACGCTCTTACGCGAATCGGAAATAAGATCGACTTTCTTTATAAATTCGTTTTATTATGTTTTCATATTTTTCCACATTTATTTGGTTACTTGTCGTTGGCTTTCGCAGAGATCCGGTTCCTCTGGAAAATTAGGGTTTTCCTAAGTTTCCTTATTTAACGGAAATCGACAAGTGTGAATTTCGGTTCCCACATCATTTTCCTTTTTAAATTGCATTCTGCATATGCTAAATATTGAAGAAGTGCAAAGGTGAAGACGAGTTACGAACTCGTTTCTTTATTTTAATCAAATAAAGGTATATATTCTGAGTTGCAGAAATACAAAAGAGTAAGTACAATTATCAAAATATTTAGCATTTAGTTTGTTGTAGTTGAATTTGAAGGGTAATAGACTTCTCACAGGCAGAAAGTGTCTTATATTCAAAATTCCTCTTTGTAAATTGCTAGCTCAAAAAGTTTATTTATGTGTAATTATTTACTAGATTTTGACCCGTGTTTTAAAAGCACGAGTATTTTCCGTTTAATAAAATTTGATTAAACCTATAACTTTTACTCCCTCCATTTTATTTTATTTGTTGTTTTAGATTTTTACACCCAAATTAAAAAAAAAACATTTAATTTACATGTTTTCAAAATAAAAACACAATTACCTATACACCTAACCTCATTTCAACTTATAAAAAATAGAAAAGTATATAAAATTAATAAATTATGCATCAAAATTATAAAACGACACTTATTTTGAAACAAAAAAAAATCCTCTACAACGACATACAAACTGAAACAGAAGGAGTATTAAAAAAAAACAAGGAATTTAAAAATTGCTTTATTAGTATTTCAAATAATTGTTTTATTATAATGTTTGATTTTTAAGTAGTGTGTTTATATTTGATTCAGATATATGGTTGAAGCGATAGATCTAGACACTTGTTTATAATCCAGTTTAAATTTAATGAAAATCTTTTTTAACTAAAAGTTCGATGCAATCTGGTAAAAGTTTAAGAAATTGCGATCCGATATTGGTTGATCCAGTAAAAACCCCAAAAAAACATCTAATAATGCTTTTGAAATTTTGATTAAATAACTCTTGTTTTTAATATTATATAAAATTTATTTTTTAATTCCTTATAATTTGATGAAATTTTTATTATGTCATTTGAAGAAAACGAAACAATGGTAATAGAAAAAGACAAAAAATTTTGATATGACAATATTAGTTTCCTTTCGTCTTTAATAACCTATGCTATGTTTATATTTTTATTTATTTTAGATCTAAATTTTAATTTTATGATACGTTTTAATTTATTTTTGAACACTCAAAGTTGTCATATTAATATTATGCAGAAAATTACATCGTAAATAATATTTTTTAAAAATTTCATGTATATACCTATATTCAATTTTTTGATATTATTATTTACAAAAAAAAAATTATATTCAAATTAAATGGCCAGTATAATTTGCATCAAAATCAGAATTATTATCTTTGACAAAAAATATGGAAAGTATTAGTTCCCATAGATATAGAAAATATTTGCTTCTTTAATTTAAATAAATAGAAGTTAGTGGTATGATTTTGTAATTTTCTCAAAAATCAAGGACATAATCCTAAGAAAGATTATGCTTTAATAGTAAACTAGATTATGACCCGCACACCTGCGCGGGTTTTAGTTTTGTTAAAACAAATTATATATGTATTTATAATTTATAATTTTATGTAGTTTTAAGTTTGTCTATACTTATTTTATGTGACTAAACAACATGATTAACATTATTTATTTTATTAATATTTTTTCATAAGTATATTATAGATATATGTGCGGTGAAAACATTAAATTGGTTATCTGAATCCAAATCCGCAAAGATCTTAAATGGACCCGAACTGAAATTAATAAATATTCAAATGGAGATAAAAATTTTAACCTCAAAAATTGAAACCTAAAATAGACTCGAACGGAACTTGGATGGCTCCTTAATGCCCACCCATAATTTAAAGTTTGTCATACAATGAATATGGACAGTGAAAGTGTAGAGTTGGTCAATTTAATAGTATTGAATTTATAGTATTGAAATAATATTGGTTAATAGTATTGATAGTATAGATATGAGTATTAATAGATGTAGGCTAATGAATTATCTGCAAACAGTTGACATAAATGAAGATATATACTGTTTTATAGTGAAAATATAGTACATGTTTATAAATTAATATATTGGTTGAATGATATAATGGATGGATACAAAGAAAAATTTGAATTGGAAATATTAGATGAGATATGAAAGAAAATAATTATATTTTCTGGTGAAAGATTATTTAAGGAAATATTTTATTAAAGGTTGAGTTAAAAAATTAAAAGCTTACATAATAGGAAGTCCAACTTTAAAATCCACCTAGAAAAAGTTATAATGTTCATGTTTTAATAATATAGATGATTACTTTATGTTTTTAGGATGTGATACAAATTAGAACCAAAAACAATGTGTTATATCCAAACCCAAATTCGTATTTACAAATTTAACACAATGAGACTTAGGATGTGATAAATTAAAACTGAAATTCAAAATACTCAACATGTATCTGAACGGATACCTGAACGTTGAAGTCTAACTCAGAATCTAATTTAGATGGTCTAGAAATTTTTAAAATTTTCTTTACCCAAAATATAAATTATATATAACCTTTATAAAGAAAATTTTGTTTTTAAAATATTAATTAAATTAAAATTTGTATAAATTTAATTTTACCAAAATAAGATAATTATTCATTTATATAACTCACCTCATATTAATTTTAATTATATTAAAAACTAAAGCTATAATATGAATCTATTTTTTTTATTGTTTACATTCTTATGAAATAATTTGCAAGAAACTATAACTGTAAATTATAATATACAGTTCAGTATACCATATAATAAAATAATATTAATGAAAACAACATTTATTATTTTATTTTATATTAAATTATATCCTAATATTTTAATTTAGATATTATATTAAAAATATAAAATTATTTCTTATTTTAATTATCTAATTTTAGTATTTTGTTTTAATAAGTTGAAGTATGTTGTAAACTATTCTATAAATAAAATGAGTTAATATTCATTTTTAATTGAATTTAATATTATTTACGATTTTTATTAAAATAATAATAAAGTAATAAATATTTATATTTTAGATAAAAAGATATTAAAAGATATTGTTAAAATGCAATCTACAAAAAAAAAATAGTTAAAAATATCTTTTTGATATCTTATTTTGAATATATTTAAATAATATGTTAATGTTATGTGTTTATTTAATAATAATTAAGATCATTGTATGTAACATAACATAAAATTAAATAAATGTAATATTTTGAGGTAGACTATTTGCAAGTAGATAAAAAGTGCTTATGTTTTAATAGTATTGATTTTCAGTTGTAAGTTTTGTTTGCATATTGGGTTGTGAGTGTGATATATGGTTCCATTATTGATAAGGTCAATAAATATATAATAGAAGGTATAATGATAATTATTCATAAATTCGTTGGTTTATAGTATAAGGTCGAAAATTCGTAGAGAAATTATTCAGGGTTCATTTTGGTTTTAATAGTTAATTATTGATACCATATTCAAAGTGGAAACGTGTAATGTGCAATAATATATTGGATTAAATTTCAGTTTGCAGGTTCTTGACCATTGGGTGGATCAGTGCATGAGACTTATGACCAGTTTATCTATCTTTGTTGGAAGATGAGTTAGAAATTGAGGATAGACCAGTTTCATGATAATATTGATTTAATTGATTATTATAGCATTAAGGAATAAAAATATAAATGTCATTGAAAAAGAGTATATTTAACGTTATTTTGAGATAAAATATAAATGGGATGCGTGATTTTTGGAAGCTACATTGGTCTTTTTTATTTCCCGTATTATCCTTCAAGATAATAAAATTTTAAGACACAAAAAGTAATATACCTGGAAAAATAAGGGTAATTTCATTAAAGATCATGTTTTAATAATATTGAAGATACTTGCTTTGGTACTTGTTGACAAGAACCTGTCAATTTTATTACATTGAATAGAAACCAGACTCAATTACAATAGTTTACAATGTTTCAAACCGGATACTGACAAAAACAAACCAAACCATGTACTGGTTTAGTCATTGCATTTCTACTTCCTAGTAAGTAATGGCATTTACTACCCGAGTCCCCCTCCCTCTTCGTTTACCAGCTTGCTTCTTCCTATTCCTCATACCACTAGTACAACCACTCTGTTTTTCGTCATCATCTGTCTTAATTACAACTTCTTTACAAATAGATACATCCTTGCTTTTCTCTAACTTCCTCTTCTCAACAAAGCTAACTACTCCGCCAAGAACAACATCAGTATCATCATCCTGCATCAACTCTTCAGCTAACTCAGCAGGAGTAATCTCCGTAGAATCAACCAACCTCTCGATTTCTTCACATAGAGGATGGTTCAAACCATCTAAACCAAGGTAGTTTGAAACCAATGTCCTAAACCCTAACCCTGTACAATACGACATATTGATATGCATATCCATTCTTCCTGGACGTAGCAACGCAGGATCAAGCCGTTCTTTATGGTTAGTCGTGAACACGATGATCCTCTCATCTCCAAAACTTGACCATAACCCATCAATGAAGTTGAGAATCCCTGATAAAGTCACCCTTCCTCTATCTTTTTTGCTTTCTTGATCCTCATCAGCTTCCCTGTCTCTAACCTCGGCGCTGCAATCAATATCTTCAATCACCAAGATCGAACGATTCGTGGTGGATAACAAAACCCTCTTCAGTTCACCATTGTCGTAGATACTACTAAGCTCAAGATCAAACACATCGAACTTGAGATAGTTAGCCATCGCGGCGATCAAGCTCGATTTACCAGTTCCTGGAGGTCCATACAACAAGTAGCCTCGCTTCCAGGCCTTACCAACTCTCTTGTAAAACTCTCTCCTCTTCAGAAACCTATCCAAGTCATCGATTATCTTCTTCTTCGCAGCAGGATCCATGGCTAACGTCTCGAAAGTCGAAGGATGCTCGAGACTGATACACCCCCAGTTCCCACCGGCGCAACCGTTGTCGTCATCGTTAACGTACACATCTTGGCTGTATAGTTTCACCACTCTCAGGCTCCTCTTGATTTCTTCAGACTCTGCGACCACGTGGGTCAAGTAAGAGGTCATGACTTTGTCTCTCAGCTTCTTCTCGAAGGTGAGCTCGTAGTGGCGTTTGACTTGCTCACCTTTCTCTTTCTCCGACTGAACAAAGCTCCATCTCACCTCGGAGCCCTCGAACGAATCTACGATCTCTTCTCCTTTCTCGATGGAGATCGTGAAGTGCTTCTGCTTTGGGGTCTTCCCGACACGTAACCGCTCTGTTTCAGGGCCGATTTTGCTGCGGAGGTAGAGCTCCGCCGCGTCGAAGACTTGGTTCCGGTTCGAACCGAAGTTCTCGTCGATGATGACAGTGAGAGTCTTCGACTTAGGAGTCAAGAACCGGTCGAGTAATCTTGAGAAGTAGTTTCGGAGCTGAACCGGGACGAAATCTTGGAGCATCGATCTGAAGAGCATAAAGAATCCGGTGAGGGATGCGTACGCTGAGAACAGCGACGACGGTGAGAAGGAGTTAGCGGATGAAGGGAACATCTCTGCTCTCGCGAAGCTTCCGATGATCTAAAGATTCAAGAAAGGGGTTTTAGAGTGATGGATGAGTGGAAAGGGTGAGAAATGGATGAGTGGAAAGGGTGAGAAATGGATGAGTGGAAAGGGTGAGAAGGAGTATAGCTTTATAGAGCAAGAGGTTTTGTTTTTCGATTAATTTAAATGGTATTTTTAGAAGGGAAAAATAATCTGAACGGCATTTACTTTTCAATCACGTTCCTTAATTTAACAACTTTTATATAGTTTTCTTCTTTTTCCATTCGTTAATTTAAGATATTTTCTTTTTGTTTTTAATTAATCAAAAAAGGAAATAAAAGAAAATTAAAAGGTTTCTCGAAGGAAGGAAGCAGGAGAATAAAGAAAAAGAAGGAAACTTGCAGAGGAAAGAGGCTTGCGCAGCAAGGCGATGTTCCGTGTACACGTCAGACGTCAACTCTTGCGTCCACTTGTCGGTCTTTAGCTTTGATGTGAAGGGAAAAAAGTGAGCCGACCAACAACTTTGTCGGTCTCTGATGCACAGTAGGTTTATGGGCTGTTAACTTCCAGTCAAATCTATGTACAAGCTGTTGGGCCTTTGTCCAGAAACAAGCTATTGGATACAGTAAGTTGCGCTGCTTTTATCAAGTTAGGCCCGTTACACGATTCTATTAGTATCGGTTATAAGCCTCGGCGTTTGCGCCATGTGAGATTCGGATTTTAATATTAGGTTCGTTAGTCTCATTTATTTTACTCTCACCGTTTCATATTAGGTGTCGTTGTATAGATTTTTTTACGTTACAAAATAAGTGTCGTTTTCGGTTTTCAATGCAAAATTTATTAATTTTATTATGTAATTTGTTTTTCTATTGGTTAAAATATGGTTAGTTCTATGGATAACTGTGTTTTTATAGAAAATATGTAAAATTAATTGTTTTCTTAATTCGTGTGCACAGCTGTTGAGTGACACTTATAATGAAACAGAGGGAGTACTAATTTTAGGTGGAATTCAGTTCAAATTATAACTAACTAGATCTTTTGATCGCGATGCACACGACTAGTCTTTTAAACAAAATTTTCAATCATATTGTTTATATATAATATATTGTATAATTAAACTTATAATTAAAAATAGAAGCAATAGAATGTTAAATTAAATAAAAAGATAACGATTGACAAAATCATTATAGTTAATGCAAGTAAAAATTTCATAAAAAAATATTAATAATGAACAATTTTTTTTTACAAAATATAGATTTCTAGTTTTTCTTAACAAAACCATCATTTTAATCTCTACTTTTACATTTTCTATCTTCAAAATATTGGTAGAAAATAATCAATATCAAAATTTTCAAATTAAATATATAAATTGAATTGACTTTTATTTAAATTTAAAATGATATTATATAAATCTAAGATTGTATATATTTTGTTGTTATAAATAATTTTTATTTATTCTATTTATCTATAAACTGAATGATATTAATTTATCTTTACCATCAATGTATTGAATACCAAACCAAAAATTAACTTGACATTGTAGTTAGGTCAATGGTCTTACTGGTTTGTAAATTTAATTTACTTTAAGTTAGGTATATATATATATATATAACTATAAAATTATTTTAAGACTTTTATCATTGTTTGAAGCTAAAATAATATAGAAATAAAATAAAAACTTCAAAAATAATATAAAATAATGAAAATGATTTATTTAAATAGATATTAAAAACAATACATGTTGTTATGAAAGTTTTTTTAAAATTTGCATTTTTTAACTTGAGTTTGAAAAAAATCAGGGTTTAATATCATAGTGACCATCGGTTTTATCGAGTAACCGGTTCTTAAGCCGAATTTATTGATTTTTAGCACAACTCAAAATTGTTTAGAAGAGAGAGAGTCATAATCCAACCAGCCGGTTCTGATTTTTAAAATACTTCTTGTCACAGAGCATCGCTTTTAATAACAAACAACAAAATCGTCTTAGTAGACATATTTTTATTATGAACTTATGTCAAAATCCATATACATATTTAACTGAAATTGTTATTTATTGTTTAACCATTTTAAAAAGAAAATATTGCAATCTTAATTTTTTTTTTCAAGTTTCCAAAGACTATGCAATATGAACCAAATTGTATGCATGGAATAGATCAAAATATAAATTTATAACAAAGCCATAGAAATTTTTTTTACCACCATAATTATACATTTAAGAAAAGATAGACATTTGAGATTGAGAAAATGAATCTTTTTTGTTTAAAAGGAAATGATAATTTAGTATATAAACTTTCATGGGTTGAGATTTTTGACTCAACTTTCATAGTAGTCTATATTTTGTTACCAACTTATGTATTTAAATAACTGGTTGAAATGGTAGTAAACAAATATTTGTGAATAACTTTTATGTCCTATAATATTCGGTTTCTTTAGATCTAATACCCAATAATTATAAATATAAACTCATCATTTTCATGATTTTGTATAATTGTCTACAAAAGATACTAAAATAGATTTTGAAACAATAAAATATTAAAGACTAGTTCTACTTTCTAATAGATTAATTACTTTTTGATATGTTAATGTATATAGTGTAATCAATTCTCAAAAGCATGAAGACGTGCGTGAAAAAAAAAATAGTATTCACTACATGTGTTTTCAAGAATTATGGTACTAAAACTATTTCAGTGTATATTTAAATAGTGTCTTTAATAGTCATCTAAATGCATGTCAGCTAAAAAAAATAAAACACATTTAACAACTTGTGCTTACAACTTTCACTCTAAACATGTAAAAACATTTCATATAAGAAATGATTTTATACTACTATTTTATATCTCTAAAATAATCATGTCGATTTGTAGTTATCCAATAGAACCGATACAATCCATTGTTGCTTAAGTTTTGTTGGTGGTGGTCGGCATATATAGGGAGGGATAAATTTAAAGGCGAAGGCGGCAAAGCTTAAAGGTGACGAAGAAGTCAAAACGACACCAATATGACCTCCTTCCTTTCTCTTTCTCTCATCTCTTAGTGCGTTGATTACATTTCCTAGCGCAAGGAGACCCTTGTTGATGTGGATTCATGTTACAGTAAACGAATCTTCCAGCTTAGTCACTCTTTACAAAAGGAAATAAGACTAACATAGAACATAAAGAAAGGTGTGAGATAACCTTCTTTCAAGCGCATCCCGTTGGCTTCGGTTCGTTTTGCACATTCTGACCCAGCAAGATCAACCAAATAAAGTTTTGCACATAGTATATCTTCACCCGCATCTTCAGTTGTTGTGGAAGAACCACTGGAAATTTTCTTTTGTTCCAGAGTGATTGTAAAGATTGCATGAGACCGACTAAAAGACAGAAAAACTTACGTAATCATATTTGAAGAAACATGAAAGGAATCTAATGAAACCATGTAAAGTTAATAAATTTCATGGCTATTCATGTTTATGCTACCAGTTGCACGAGACAAAGATTCTCGAGCTAGATACGATCCCATCTGCTCTTTTGTTTTCACTTATGATTCAGTAACACCAGCCAAAGTGATTCCTTCAGTGGCAGTTTCCCTGATTTGTATTGGAGCTCTTGAGAAGGCAATGTGCTTTGCCTGAACCACACCATCATTCTTTAGAAGAGCTGATGAATCTGAGTCCAGTAAATCGAAAACTTCTTCCTTAAATATCTGCATGTTGGCAAGCATTAGAATCAAATGGAAACATAAGAAATCAGATTTCAAACAACAAACCTGATAGATTGCTCTTACCTCAATAAAAGACACACGAATCAAAAGCTCGGTCGAATCTTTTGGTAGTCTCCACTCTTTTAATTATATATTCCATCACCTTCGGTATAATGCCATCATTGTCCCATCTCCACTATAGTTAGTCCCATAGTGTATGTCTTACCTCAACCACTCTACAATAACAATGAATTGGATAAGTTTTTTTAAAAAAAACACCTCTAAAGAAAATTGTTTAATGAGAAGAATCTCAAAACCAAACATGTCCATAGGCTAGAACTGTAGTGTTATGATCTTTAAAAAGTGTATCCACTAAAGGAGAACAAACATGATCGTAGATCTCCAAACACAAAAAGCCAGGATTTCCAAATACGAAATTGTATGTAAAAGTGTGTGTTTTGTATTTGGAAATGCTGGCTTGCTGTGTTTGGAGATCTACGATCATGTTTGTTCTCCTCTTGTGGATACACTTTTTAATGAATTTTGGATTTAAAAAATTATCAATTTCCTTAAGAGATACAAACATGTTCGTAGATCTCGAAACACAGCAAACCTATATAACATGTTCAATTCATAAGAGATACAGAATAAAAATGAGTTCTTAAACCCAAAATTATCAGTTACTATGAAGAAACACACACTCATTATAGCTTCTCTAAATCCTCAATATGATAGCCTTATCCAACATTGGAATCAAATCACCCAATACGAAAAGTCACCAGATAAATCAGATGTGCTACCTGAGGCTCCTTATGCACAACCGTGATGCAATCGGTGTATCCATTAAGAAGCTCCGGCGTTATAAAGGGATGAATGTTGACGGCGGCCTTGACACATTCTGCGGACTCCATCTTCTCAGCGCACAAACGCAGAACCCTTAACAACTATAATGAAATCCCCATAAATAAATGTTACGAAAGGAGGACTAAACTCACTGTACGCAACCAAATAAATCTATGTGCATATCTACAGCCTAGATTTTAAAATCACAAAGAGTAAGGAAATAGATCTGAGAAGTACCCACCTGTCATCGAGGAGGAGGAGGGTTATCCCCATAAACTGCCTATTCTTGTTAATGTTCTTCGAATCCTAGAATTGGATGATGCGAACAACAACAGATTGGGAAATTCTTAGGTTGCCTGGTTTACAAACGTTGATGACATTTTGGATCTGATGCAAAAATAGATTCTTAAGTGAGCATATTTGGGTAACCTAAGAATCTAATGCTCAGTTGTAACAATGTTTGTTAATTGGAAGAGGAGGAGAAAGGAGAAATGAAGAAGAAGAATTGAAAAGGCAAATTAAAGCATGCGATGAAGAGAAGAATAGATGTTTCACTTTCAAGTTGGAGAAGAGGAAATGATCAAATTAAATGTACATGTCGATTGCAAAAACCAGCACGCTATATAAAATA